CGATCTATACACAACAGATTGAAAAGCTTCATTATACCTTATTTTTAAAAACAATAGCAGAAAATGCTGTACCTGCTTTGACAAAGCTCTGACGATCCTGCCATTTCATACACTCACATGCACATGCTTCTCTCTGCTTTAGCTCTCTCCCCTTATCACTGTCAAGGTCCCAAGTTGCAGCATCTGTCCTGGACAAGCAGTAGGTATCAACCCTCCTTTTGGAACCCATCCATTCTACTCCTGGAGTCCCCGTAGGATGATACAAGGCATTCCTTCCCCTCCATCAATCCTGCGATACTACGTTGACATGAAATGCTATGCATGTTATCTGAGGTCTCTGCCAGAGGTAGGTACAATTCATCTCCCCAGTCAGCTAGGGACTGATCATGTTGCCAAGGGAGCATTTCAAGCCCTTCTTTGCTGAGGACTGAGCATCTAGGTATGCTTCATTTCAGTGCAAGGAGCCCTACCACAATGCTAATAAATGGAGACCCCCTGCAATTATTAAAGAGTGTTTACTATTCACTCTTACTGTGCCTACCATCTTGATTCTTGCCATTTACATTTGGTAATTCATACTATCCATTTCAATCACCCTGCCCTGCAATCCCTTCACCTTTCACTGGCTAAGTGGGACAGGCCAAGCCAGTGTTTGGATGGAAGTCCTCCCAAGAACAACTAGATGCTGCAAGAAACGATGCGGGTGGCATTCAACTCTGAGTCGTCATGGCCATGCATAGTGCTGCACATAGTGCCATATTACCAGATTAGATGTAAATCCAGGACCCAGAGCAGTGTTGAGGCAATAGTGTGCAGGGAACAATTTACTCCATTAATTTATCCTTTTTTATCTCAGAAGATTGCGATTTCCTCCAATTTTTTCATTATTCTAAATTATTCCACCAACTAATTTGTTTTCATCACTCTATGGATTGCAAACAGCTGAGCATTGGATACTCAAGCTATGTTGGTTAGCTCTGCCTAGTCCTATAAGTCACAAGGTATTGTGTCCCTGAGTAGATCAGCAGAAGCCTCTGAGCAGAAAGAGGGCTTGAAAAGAACTGGGCTATTGAATCTCTCAGGGAGTAGCAGCAGAATTTAGTGAGAGCCTAGTAGCAAGATTAGGGGATTTGGGAAAACTACATCTTTTTCTTTCTGGTCTTGCCCAAAGCACTGCACTGTTAAGCACAGTAGGTTACTGTAGGTTGCAGTATTAGTTGGGGGCTGATTTTAAATGTAATTGTCTCATATTCACACAAGTGACTGTACATAGACAGCCCACACTACCAAAGATGAAGCCATATACCCACATAGTGCCTGATCCAAAGGCCCTTGGAGTCAATGGAGTCCATTAACTTCAGTGGGCTTTGAATCAGTCCTTTAACTCATGATGGACCAAGTTTTTTTGAACATTGTTCCTCTCTATTTCTGAGAGGTGACATGACTTGCCCTGGGTCACACAGCAGACCAGTGACAGAACCCAGGTCTCCTGACTCCCACCCCAGTGCTCTATCCACTAAATCACTGCTTTTCATGCTTATCCTGCAGACTACAGGGGATTTCTGGGGACAACCGTGGTAGGGAAAGCACAACTATAGTATCTAGAGACTAGTGGGAGCCAGTGAAGCCAGGCAGCAGTCCAAGGCTACACCTTGCATCCTTCAATGCTGTGCAGCTCTCAAGTGATCTGCAGGTCAAGAAGTGGAACACCCAGTCTCTCTCACTGGGGAGCGTTCCCCTCCTCCCCCACCCCCAAGCAAGAATTCCTTGGAATCACAATGGGTTGACAAGTGTAGAATTATCCCTCCCCTAGGCAGAAGAATGGGGCCATTGGCCACAAACCTTGGCAGTACCCTGGGGTACGCATGCATGGGTCTCATTGCAAGATAGGGGCCTCAGTCTGTAAAAGAGTTTGGGGATCCTTGGTGTTATACAAGCATAAAACCAATAGCATTAAAAATCTTTTATACCATAAAAAGTAAGCTTAGAAATTCATAGGCTGTGCTAGTTAAATAAGAGGAGACTTTGGCTCAGTGTGTGTGTCTGTGTATATACACATATAACTATATATGTCAGGCCTGCACAACTCGTAAAGCGGTGAGGGCCATATTACTCCAAAGAAAACAGCTAAGGGCCGAACCCCCCCGGCCCCGCCGAACCCCCCCCAGCGCCACTCAGCCCCCCGAAACACAACACACACACCCCAGCGCCGCCCGCCCCATGGAAACAACCCCCCCAGCGCTGCCGAAATACTCCCCTCAGCGCTGCCCGCCCTGCGGAAACAAACCCTCCTTCCCTAGCGCCGCCCCACCGAAACAGCGGTATTGAACCTTGGTAATATGTTATAGCGGGCCCCTAAGGTAGTATAATTAAGGTAAAAGAAAACTGTCTTTTTGCTAGAAGTAGAATAAGATCTTCCCCCCACTTTGTAATCAATTGCCCTGTTGAATGAATGAGGTGTGAATGAGGAAGACGTGGAAGACAAGCACCTCCAGACAGCTGTAACCCTTGGAGAAGGGATCAGAGCCAGACCAGATCAGTAGAACAGGTCAGCCACAGACTCACCACTCGCCTCCTCAGCTCCCCTCCCCCACCGCCGGCTCACCTGCCCCCCCC